CTTTAAAAATTATATTTTTGTATTGTTTTGTTTATAATAAAAAGAATATAATTACCAAAAAAAAAATTGAGTGACTTCCATTTTTTTGTTAAGTGCATTAGAGTTTTATCATGATAATTACACTGTGCAGCATTTTTAGTGCTTTTTAAATTTACCTCGATGGATGCTATATTTTTGGATTCCTTACGAATTCCCAAGTTAAACTGCGCTTTCCAAAAAGTTCCCCGACGCAAGGATTCTTAGCAAAAGGACCTCAAAGTTCGAAAAATGCTGAAATTGGCCAACTTTGCGGAGCTCTCAGAGGCAAATGGATGCATGGTTTGATTCGATGTTAAAGTTTTTTAAAAGATACGCCCTTTATCTTTTAAACCCCATACTTAAAAAATTTTTAAGATTTTTTTTAAGGCAGAAACAAATTCTAGAAAACATAGTCAAAAAACATAAAAGTATACAGCTGCGGTCAAAATGGTAGTAGTGTTGCCGCCCTGTGTATTTAAAAGTTTGTTGTTGTAATTGATCTTTTCCTGGTAATTTTGTATTGATTATAATTTTACTATTAGACTAATTGGATAAGAAAAAATTACAACATCAAACTTTTAAAAACACAAGGCGGCAACACTGCTACTATTTTTACCGCAGCTGTATGTTTTTCGGTTTTTTGACTATGTTTTTTGGAATTTATTTCTGCCTTAAAAAAAATCCTAAAATTATTTTATGTATGGGGTTTGAAAGATAAAAGGTGTATCTTTTAAAAAACATTAACATCGAATCAAACCATGCATCCATTTGCCTCTGAGAGCTCCGCAAAGTTGGCCAATTTCAGCATTTTTCGAACATTGAGGTCCTTTTGCTAAGAATCCTTGCGTCGGGGAACTCTCTGGAAAACGCAGTTTAACTTGGGAATTCGTAACAAATCCAAAAATATAGCATTCATCGAGGTTAATTTTCGATGCTGCATAGTGTTATTAAAATCAATATAAGATACACAAAAAATTAAAAAATACTTTTTAACAAAGTTATTCTTTTGAAAAGATGGTGTTAAAAAATTTTTTAATTACTAATATATAATTAGAAAGATACCTGTATACCGTTCATTAAAAATATCATCGCAATTGACATTTGTGCACCAATTTTGCGTGTGTTTTGCCGTTTTAGGTCGAGGCCTTTAAATACAGATTTTCGAAAAAGTGGGCAAAAGTGGACCTTCAAATTACATACATATGACAAGAATCGAAATCCCCACAACCCAGTATAAATATTAAGGTGAAACTAGGTCACATTCTCTTTGTTTGTCTATTTAAAGATGAGTTTTTATTTCGATTTGTTAAAAGTTAAAGGGGTATAAATAAATTGTCAATTGCAAAGAAACCGCATTATATTTTAACACTTAAAATATACAAATAATTAGTTTAATCCACTCTCTTTCGATGCCGTAAAGCACCGGTTGTTATAATCGTTCTAAATTGCTCTTTGAATTAATTTAAAAGTTCTTGTTTTTATTAAATTATTTGATCCACGTGCGCCCGTCACTGCCAACAGCTGTTTTAACAGCCTGTACCTTAACAGTGCGAGCCTCTGTTAAAATTTCTGGTATGTAACATTAAAGTCTGATGTTATCCTAACAGAATGATATCATTGGATCCTAATTTTAGGGACTTTCAAAAAATTACTTTTGGCCACCTAAAGTGGTCATCCAGCCTATAGTGCAATGTCTAGTAGTATCCAACAACGAACACATTTGTTTCAACCATCAAGCCTCATTCAACGCTGAAAATCGATGTGAATTTCAGCTATTCAACAACAAATCTGAAACACTCTGTGAGATTATTAAGTCGAAAGCAGACTTGATTTGGTTAAGAACGCATCAACGAAACAGATGGATGTTTGCGACCTACAACCAAATAGAACTTCAAGCTGTATGCAAGGGCGTGCCATCCACTATTCACCTTAATGGATCGGGTTTATTATCTCTGTCCTCAGGCTGCACCGCACGAAACGTGAACATCAGCATTAGCACATTCAGCACGATGATCACCGAATCACATTTAGCGTACATACGTTTTGGCAATATAACATCTCCCGATGTGGAAGATACATAAGAGTCAACTCGAGAGACTGCAACCCAACCATCTGAATCAGACGAACTGGATCGTCTACAACAAAGGCTGGCTAAGCTAAAGGATACAGCATGGTCAAATCAATTTACCACTGTGCAGCATCATCAAGTAGCCACGTATGCTGCGTTAGCAATATCAATAATATTGATCATTGCATATAGTCTCAGAAGGCGATTCGTCAACTGGAAGCCACGACAGCCAACCTGCACCAACCAAGAGAACGACGAGCAGCCATCACCTGAACCTACCCCACGGAGTTTTGCGTTCAGCATTAGCGATGGTTGAACACTTGTTCAACGGCCGGGAGAATGTTCAGTCGCAGCAATAGTTATAAGTCAGCGCTCTGAAGTATCATATATCGGGTCAAGCCGTCAGCAACATTATCAATGACCCACTTATTGGCACAAGCTTATTCTGCTGAATTGTAACTATCCGGGCTTGCATAATGCATAATAACCGACACTTGCTTTATACCTATTCTGTTAACCTATGCACTTTTTACCTATAAATACCGTTAAGTTTATACAATAAAATAAGTAACAATTTTGACTCCTACACTCAAGTTGTACTCATTTTGCATTCAACAGAGGCTGTCGCTCTAGTCTTCAGATCCTCATATGCAATCCTTAGTCCAACTGGTTCAAGTTCTAGATGCGACGACTTTAGGCAGACAGTTTATGTACTGTATGCCAGGCACCTAAGCCAATCAATAAACAGAACTCTTAAGTGCAAATTTACTGATTACATGACCCTAAAATACAGTTCGGATACCCTCCCACAAAATTCAATACTCAGGGAGCGTTAATTGTTCGAGCTGGCAAAAGTGGCTATTTTCGTATAAAAATAACTTTTAAACGTGACTCTTTACAGTAATGTGTTATATACCAAAATTTAAGGAATCTCAAGGGCTTTACAGTTTAAAGTTTTAAAGAAAATCGTTAGAGCCGTTTTTGAAAAAAATAAAAAACTAAAAAAAAAGTTTTAAAAAATTGTCTTTTGTTCATATTTTTTTAACTATTACATTTACACAAATTGCATATAGATGGCGTTTATAGCATTTAAAAATACCTTTCAAACGAGATGCAGCACAAGTCTGTAGCTTTAGTAGTATAGAAGTTACTGCTTTCCGAATTGTAGCTATTTATAGCTGTTTTCCCGCTAAACTAGCGAGTTTTTCCAAAAGTGGTAGAACAAAAGTTTTTTATATCGATGTGATGAACGTCATATCAAATTTTCAAAACTTAAAAAACATGTTTTGGACAAACTGACAAACTGACAAACAGAATTAAATTTTCATTTTGGGAAGACGAAGAAAATCTTATTTTGGCTATAACTTTTGAACGGAGCGTCGGATTTTGACAAATGACCCCTCATTCGACGGGTATTTTCAAAAGGAATACAACAAAAATATTGCGAGGGGGCATTTATCCCCACCGGCCCCAACAGCTCCAAATTTCGAAATTTTGACTTTCTTACTTTTACCGCTCTCTCTTCCAAGCCAATTGATTTTCTTAGAGTCTTGGTATGCAATCATGTTAGTTTTCGCAATACCTTTCGATAGGTGTATCATTCATTATGATCGGACCATCACAGTAAATTTTCATTTCTTCGTGTATATATAGTAGTCGCCTTCGCACACTCTCCTCGTGCGCTTCGTCACTACATGGACTGCCGTCCATAGTGATAGAAGTTCTTAAATTAATAGATTTTTTCAAAGACCGCGAATTATTGGGAACAAGAGGATTTCTTTGTGTGGATCATACATAACTTAACTAAGAAACTAAGAAACAAGAAACACAAATAACCATCTTGACCTTAAGAATTCGCAACGGGTCGATGAGCTGTGTAAATTGTGATTATCGTCTTATTTAAAAATATTTTTTTTTCTTTGGGTAACCCTAAACCTGAACTGTTCTACTTGAAACCCAATTGACTTCGGTCGTTTGCTTTTGGGTAAAAATTGACTCACTTACCCAAATACCCAAACCCAAACGACCCAAGTCAAATGAATTTCAAGTAGGTCGGTTGGATTTAAGGTTTGACAAACAAGTCAGGTTACTTGTGCAGGGCTCTAATAAAAACCTCTTAGCTTATCTCAAGGTTCATACGCATCAACCGGACAACTAAGGGCCATATTGTCCTATGCGCGGCCCCGTGAGAGCCTTCCGGGTTAACCTAACCTAACATAACCTGACGCTCGGGTGAACAGAGAAGTCGGTAGCCGATTAGTAGTCGGGCCGAGTAGACCTTTCGTCCTACTTCGTTATTTTTGTCGCTAACATTCGGTAGCCGAAGGAAGTCAATTAAAACCATAATAATTATTGATGATTGTAATTTATTTTACTCAAAAACAAAACTTGCCGTGCCACACTGATTTTGAATAAGATTCTGTGCCAATTTTGGCTGGCGAAAATCCTCCAGCTGAACCCTCCACAAGGGTGCCGGCTGGGCAATGGTAACGGCATTACCCCGAGCAGGTTAATGCATTGTTGATTGTCCTGCCCGGGGCAATGCAGTGTCTAGCTAAGGCAACTGGTTCAACCCCCTTGAATCAGTAGCGATGGTTGGAGGTGCCTGGCGGTAGGCATAAAACGCAAGTGGGTGGTTCCCCGGAAAAACAAACCAGTATGGACGGAGATAAGGAGCAAATCAGGGCTGGGATGTCAGCCCAAACGTCGGTGGGAAGTACGACTGCTACCATCGGCGGGCACGGGGAGGAGCAATCCTCTCTGCGTGTCGCCAGCGGTAAGGATTGCGAACCTTCCCCAGGAGGAGAAGGAAAAGCTAGCCTGGGCAGAGCAAAGGATTGAGGAAGGAAGGCAACACTTCGCAAGCAAACCTGCAATCGCGTCGACGGGTGGATTTGCCAACAAGGTGGAGGAGATGCCTGCCTCCAAAAGGCAACGCTCACACGAGAGTGCCGCCAAGGACATTCCGGTGAGCAAGCGGGAGCTCGGGCACAAGGAGACAGGCCCTCCGCCACCCAAGCCCAACAAGAGGGCTAAATTCAGTGATCTAGTCAACCGACACCTGATTGCGGCACTCATTGACAGGAACGACGAAAACAGGAAGATGACGAAGGCGCGCTGGAAGTTCGTCCATGCGCGACTGATCGAGTCTCTCTTTGCACGGATGGATGAATCACCCACAGCCCCCATGCCCACATTCGATGGTGCAGGGAGGTTGAACGGCGTGAAAATCCTCAAGTGCAACGACGATCCGACCAGGAAGTGGCTGACGCAAACGGTCTGCCAACTGGAGGCGCTGTGGGAGGGCGCCAAGCTAGAGGTTGTGGACAGGGAATTAATCCCATCCATACCAAAGGCGAAAGTGCTCTTCCCCGTCTCAATCCAAGGGGATCGGGCGCTGAAGCTGCTTCAACGGCAGAATCCAGACGTCCCAACGGCGAATTGGAAGATTCTGCACATGGCCAGCCCTCTACCCAACGAGGGGGGCCAAAGTGTGCTTCTCCAAATCAACAAGGAGGCGGAGGATCTGCTGTACCTAAGATTCGGGAAGATGGCGTGGGGGTGGCGTCTACCTGCGCCTCAAGAAGCGACACCCCGACGACAAAGGCGCACACATCCTGCAGGCATGCGAGGTGGAGAAGGACCCAGGGCTGAAGCCATCGTGGATGCCGCCCAGGAACTTGCTCTGGACGACTCGGAAGACGAAGAGGACGGTGACCTGACTGTAATAGCCAACCCGTCGAGCGGAGATGAGAGCCACCCATGACACTGGGGGTGCTGCAGCTCAATCTTCATAAAAGCAGACTCGCATCGGCGGAGCTCCTGATTGCCCTAGAGCAAGGACCCGTCGACATAGCCTTGGTTCAAGAGCCATGGATTGCCTCGGGCAATATCGTGGCCGGACTAAGGTCCTCAAACTACAATACATTCTACTCACCAACGGTAAGCAGGAACAGAAGCGCCGTACTTGTGCGCAAGGGTATCCATGCTAACCCTATGCCTCATTACAGATCTGACGACTTGACTGCGGTGATGCTAGAAATCGAGGGGCTACATGGCACATGACAGATCGGCGCCACCAGACGAGCTGAGCAGCTTGGTAGAGCTAGTCTCGAGGGATGACCAACTCCTCATTGGTGCAGATGCCAATGCACACTTCAGCGTGTGGGGAAGGTCAGACAACAACGACAGAGGTGAGTCACTCTTAGACTTTATTCTATCTACTAACACCAGTTTACAAAAAAAAATCGATGAAATATACCATGAATGAAACCTTTGTTTTCCGGTAAGGTACGTCTTCCTAATTAAGGAAATTATCACTTACAATTTTTTTTATGGATACAATTTTTTTAAAGTGTAAAAAACGTTTTTGACATTTTTTTTAATTTCTAACTTGAGTTGTGGTTAACCGATTTCAACCATAAATGACTCATTTTACAGGTAATATAATGCCCTCCAACTTTCTTCTTCACTGCATTGAGTTCCATTCATTAGTTTAGAAGCTACACTTCGTCAAAGTTGAAAAAGTTAGAAAAAATTCAAAAATGCTGGCATAAATGGCTTCGTTAAAAATACACGCCTAAAAACCGAAATTAGTTTTATGACTTATCCTTGAAGATACATCTTTAAGTCAACTAACAAGACCATCAACAAAAAAATCAATCAATAGTTCGATTTTATATCGATTTTACACGTTGGTAAAAACGGGTATTACAGCCCTGTTAGAGCCCTGTTGTGTCAGTTAACAGCTGTAAACGGCCAAAAAAACACCGTTGTCGCAAGCTTCAAAAATGCATATCAAATTAATTTGCTAGTGGATTGTAATGATCAATAACTTGTCTTTTTTTGTCAAAGCACCTTCTACCAGTAGAAGTTATAAAAATAATTTCGGTTTTTAGGCGTGTATTTTTAACGAAGCCATTTATGCCAGCATTTTCGGATTTTTTGGATTTTTTACCTGTAAAATGAGTCATTTATGGTTGAAATCAGTAAACCACAAATCAAGTTAAAAATTAAAAAAGTGTCAAAAACTTTTTTACACTTTGAAAAAATTTTTACCCATAAAAAAATGTTAAGTGCCATTTCCTTAATCAGGAAGACGTACCTTACCGGAAAACAAAGGTTTCATTCATGGTATATTTCATCGATTTTTTTTTGTAAACTGGTGTAATCTATATATAGCAAACGTGGGGGAGGAGCACACCTTCGTAGGTCCCACCTCGTCAAACGTGCCATCTTTCTCGGACCATAGGTATATTCCGTTCAGATATGATTTTAAAAGCACTACAAAGTTAGCTGTCTATGGTAACCCCCGGAACACGAACTGCGAAAAGTTTACAAGGACAGTGACCTCAAAACTCGCGACCAGCCCTAGAGACCCTGTCCCAGGAATTACTGGATGCGTATCACGCATCATGACCGACTTCAAGAACAAGGGAGAAGACCAGGCCACCATGGTGGAATCGGGAACTTACACTCCAAAGACATAACCTCCGAGAATTCTTCAAAATCGCCAAAAAGGTAGACGATGGGATCATTAACGAGGAATACAAAATCCTACTGAAGGTTTACGAGAAGGAAACAAGCAGGGCGCAGAGAAGCTCGTGGAGAAACTTCTGCTCCAGCTAAAACGCGACGACGGACAGTAGACTGAGGGCAGTGAAGAGGCCCTAACAGCACTTATGCAATCGCACTTCCCAGGATGCACGGATGTCTTAGACGCAAGCACGCACCAAGACATAGCAACTGGCGAAGAACGCCCCCCAAACGATCTAATAACAACTACGAAAATCAACTGGGCCATAGACTCCTTTGCGGGCTACAAGGCACCAGGACTAGATGGAATATTTCCACCCATGTTACAGGCGACCAAGGAAAGGATCACCCCATGGCTATATGAAATATACTCTGCATGTCTAAGCACGGGCTATATCCCAATCCAATGGAGGACCTCTCGGATTGTCTTCCTCCCGAAAGCGGGAAAGTGCAGTCACGCGAGCCCCAAGGATTACAGGCCGATAAGCATCACCTCTTTCATACTCAAGGCACTGGAAAAGCTGCTGAATCTACACATCAGGAATGATGTAGGGACCCTCATGTCATCCAACCAGCACGCCTACACCAAGGAGAAATCTGTAGAAACGGCACTATACTCGCTAGTAGCAACCGTTGAGAGAGCCCTACACATTAAGGAATATGCGCTTGGAGTATTAGTAGATATATCCGGAGCATTCAACAATGTCAAACCGGATGCTATAATGGATCGCCTAGAAGCAACCAACACGGACCCCGCAAAAAGCCTCTGGATAAGAAACCTGCTTAGCTGCAGGCGGGTACATTCAGAGTGGGGCACCGCATCCATGGTAAAGGGGGCACACAGAGGCACACATTAAGGTGGGGTCCTCACGCCTATGGAATTTGGTGGTCGACGGTCTAATCAAAAGATTCGAGAGGAGAGCCTTAAAAATAACAGCCTATAGGGACGACATAGGCATAATTATTACGGGAGTAATCGACCCTCAGCTCTATAATGGAATCAACACTCAGGGAGATATGTGAGTGGGCGGAAAATGTGGGACTCAGTATCAATGCGGACAAAACGGCCCTCATTCTCTTTACAAAGAGATTGCATTCTCCTTTTCTACCAAACGCTGTTTGGAGCGGCAAGAATCTATACGGTAGTTACCCGCTCTCCCGCACTCCCGCACTCCCGCATAAAACGTTGTTGTTGGCACAGCTTAAACTTACGCTCCCCCGCTTACTCACTCCTGCTCACTCTCTCCCGCTCTCTCTTACTCTCGTAGCTTTTTTCTCTTTGCACCGTGGTTCGGAATATAGCGATAATGGCTGTCTGTTGTTCGAAGAAATGCAAGTCGTTGATTTTGGCTGGACAACAGAGCATTCCGTGCCATTCGTGCGATAGTATTTTTCATGCAAAATGTCTTGGCTATTCGGGCCTGGTTCGCGATGCAATCGACATGAGAAGTGGCTTGCGCTACTATTGTGAAGAATGTATCGCGTATGAAATCCAGGCAATCTCTATAAGACGGCTCACAAAAAGCACTGTAACGGAATTAATTCGTAACAGCCGTAGAAATACGAATCTGCTTGTGGCGCTTGAGTCGCAGCTCACTAGCCGTAGGCTATCTGAGCCCGATTCTCCTAAGCGTAAAAAGATCGCGGTCGATAGACAACCCACGGAAGACGCTAGTGCATCTCTCTCTGGCGATCCGGGGTCTGCAGTGCAGCAGTCGATCTCAGCTGCCGCACAAATGGTACTGAGGTCGAAAGCTAAAAAAGATTCGGTATCCGAATGTAAAGATCGTGAGATTTTGCCGCATGAGACATCCGAAAAATCTGTTAAAAAAAATAAAGAAATGACTCCAATGCCGCATGTTGACTTAACGTCTGGAGTACCGGCTGGAACTGGTAGTGCTGCCATAAATGCTGCAGTACCAAAACCTGTCACATGCGTGGTACCTAAAACAGTCACCTGTGTACCGCAGCGGAAACAAGTTTTTTGTTTCTCGGCTGAATCCTTACCTTTCATCCCTGGACATTACGGCCTATATCCGTAACAAAGTTCAGATTGATGATCTAAAGGTTGAACGATTTAATTTTCCATATGCTAGGGAAGTATCATCATTTAAGATCGGTGTTCCCTATGCTCATTTTGCAACGATGTGCTCGCCCATTTTTTGGCCAGCAGGCATTTTTGTTAAAGAGTACGAAGCTAGAAAAAAGAAAATTCGTTCAAAGGAAGTTGGTAATCCCTTTAAAGAGCCATCCACATCTTCATCTGTATCTGTCTCAAAAAACTAGATTCTTTCCTTCTGCTTTCCTATCAGAATACCAGAGGTTTACAAAGTAAGTTGACCAAATTGTATACTGATAGTTTTTACTTGTCTTCCCATGTTATTGTGTTCACAGAAACTTGGTTAAAACCGGAAATTCTTAGTTCCGAAGTTTTTCCAAGTAAGTTCACAACGTACAGGCTTGATCGTCCCTCCCGACGTGGAGGTGGAGCTTTAATTGCAGTTGACTCAGAATTAACGTCTGAAGAAATAACGTCCGACGAAATAATGGACATTGAATTTCTGTGTATAAAACTATCCCTTCAGGGTATTTCTATATACATAACATGTTCTTATATTCCGCCGTCATCTGAATTCCCAATATATGCTAATCATCTGTCCGCTATCCAGTTTATTTCAAGTAAACTATTAGATAGGGATCAGTTAATAGTTTTAGGCGACTTTAATATACCTAGACCGACATGGTCCACCGTCGAAACCTCGAATATATTGTTACCTTCAACGCAGCATGATTTTCTTGATGGTTTGCTTGATATTTCATTGTCTCAAATAAACCATGTTCTAAATTCGTTAGGACCAGTAATCGTCCTAATCTATGCTTTGTTTCAAGTCCAGATTGTGTCTGCATAGTTAAAACCTCTGCAATTACTTTACCAGAAGACCCATATCACCCAACGCTAGAGCTGACTGTTGACACGGGTACCAAATTAATTGAAATATGTGAAAAGTCAGCTAAACGCATCCCCTGCTTTCGTAGAGCAAACTTTGCACTTCTCAAGAGCCTTATCGCTTGCTCGGATTGGTCTAATCTGTACTTATGTACTAATATGACTGAAGCTGTTAATATATTTTATAACGTATTAAACGCAGTTTTTGATACATGCGTACCTACGTATTATCCTAAAATTTCTAGCCAACCTTCGTGGTTTAGTAAAGAGTTGTCACTACAAAA